TAAACCGGAGGGTTCACATGGCGCTAAGGGGGGGGATTCGCTTTGGCCTGCTCTTGGCGTCAATACTGTCCCTCTTCAATGGCGCAATAACATTTATTCCTGTCAAGTTGGATTACAAAAAGAAAAATATAGGACAATACAACATATCCTTTCCCTTATACTGAGAGTTCCGGATTTTTCCACGCGATAATTCAAGAAGAGAATCGGATTCATAATCCTTTCTTCTCTCAAAACATCCATCATGCCCCGCGCTCTCGCTAAAGTAGGGGATCGCATCATCGCGGAGACAGCGACTTGGGAGACCGTGGAGAATAACATCTATGTAAGCTTAATTAGATTCAGAGTCTGGATTTAAGATTGACTGACTTCATATTGTACAGTTTCCCCGCTCAGCAATCATCGATGATACCATTTTGCAAGACTCCGATCGTTCCACCTTTTGCCCTTGGAAAGGGTACGCATCTTACTGGCATCTGAGGGTGGACGGACAGACGCTTGAAAATGCAGCGTGGTATTACCGGGAACCCTACGATGCAGCGGCTAATATCAAGGATCATGTTGCTTTTTGTAAGTCATTCCTAGTCCTTTGGTTTGCCTTTTGCAGCCTATTTCTAGTTATATCTCACACTCTATTTCGAATAAACAGATAGTGACAGTGTCCAAATATCACAAGAGCCATAATTAGGAGGCATATTAGGATGGAGCAAGATCGATGAGTGTGAACCTGAATGGTGAGCATGCTGTGCTATAAAGGTTTCATTCCGCAGGCTTCGACAAGCCCTATAGGACTGAAATCTTTTTGGTCCCACATCCTGGTCTTATACCTTTCTATATAACTTTCGTACTCTGAATCATACCTATCTGACCTATAGGAGTCCTACCCTAGTATCACTAATCACCCCTGAGTGTAAACAGCACAGACGAATTTTCAATGTATAACTAGGGTATGTCGGAGAAAGTTTTGAGGACATTTTGTAAGAGAGTCACCAGGAAACCAGGGGCTGAAGGTCACATATAAACAACAGGAAGATATAAAATATGAAGTAAAGCTCAGAACATATCAAATCTTGTGTTAGTTTCAAGTCACACCTGGACAGCGCTCAATAAGCTCATAGGAGGCTCTTTATCTCCATTAAAGGTCCAATCGCAGCTCAGAGTGTTACTTTTGAAAGCATACGAAAACTTGAATTTGGGGGTTTGCACATTGTGCAGCAAGAGGTAAAACAAGTAACCTCAATCTTTACCTAGATGAAATTGTCCAAGTGGTCACCGGTCCACGCATCAAGTTTACATATATCTCGTGATTGATACTGGACTCAAGTATAGCTTCGTTGGATGTGGGGTCTCTCTAACGCCTTTACTGTTTGTACGTATGGCCCTGCATTAAGCAATAGGCAATGTCGAGTGACTGTAGCCCCGTGTGTACAAATATCGTTTCCTAGAACCATCTACGAAAGACAATGGAATAGAAGAAAAGATATCATTACATCCATTATCAAGATCGACATCTGACCACACTCCAAGCACTCCGCACCTTTTTTTTCCGCTGAAACACTGGCTGTGTGGTCTACCGAGTTCAAAAAGGGACTTCGGGAAGTCGAAATGCCTCCGACCAGAATTTAAAGATCTGCCGTTCGCCAGAAAACCAGTATAAAAACGCATGTAAGAACCAATCATCCATATTCATGTAAACCGGCGTGTGACCACAGTAGAGGTGGAAGGAAGATGCAAGGCATAAGAAACGAGATATGCTGTACGGAATAAGACAACGCGGCATCTAAGTCAACTTCTGCTTGATGAAGAATGACCGCAGGTGCGAGAGCTGCCAGGCGCATGCGGCGGACAAAACGGCGAGCTGGATGAGAGTCCAGCGCACGACACGCGAGTTGGTGGTCTCAGATTGGTCACGGAATTCAGACTCACGTTCCTGGAAAGAAAAGAGAATATTAGTATATCAGTTTTAATCATCCACAAACCCTAGTAGATTGGATATGGGGTAATCCTCACCCGCTGGTACACCTGCTCACGACGGATATCGTGCAAGCGGCTGTTCAGATCCTTGACCCGCTGCACAATATCCTTGATCTTGTCCTTATCCTCAGTCTCAATCTTGCTGGTCTCACCAATGGCAAGGTCAATGGTGAGCTTGACGGCGCCGAGAGAGTTGGACAACCAGCTGGAGGTGGCATCCGTTTCAGGTGTGAAGCAGATTCTGTGCTGGCCCGCATCCGCGGCGGAGAAATGGAAGCGACCAGAGTGGCTGTCCCGCTTGGACACGACGCGGTGATCATTGTCAAAGGTCTCCTCGACGGTGATGTGTATCTTCAAGGTATGGTCGATCGTGTAGGTGCCGGCCTGGGCGTTGAGAACTTCCGTTTCGAAACGGCCTATTTATGGTAACCATCATATATTAGTTTGAAACTCATTCGTGAAGTCAGTAGAGGTTGTTGCATACCGGCCACTAGAGTATCCTTGGGCAGGTCCTCAAAGAAGCACTTTGTTTGCCGGCCCTCCATGTAGAAGTACAGAGCATTGGTTGGGAGGAGGAGAGAAAAGAAGGAGAGGAGAGTCAATGCTGATGCCAGCCATGACGAGGATGTCCCAGAGAAAACCATGATGAGGAAATGGGCAATTGGATAGTCGCACGGCCAAGTCCTCCTCTCCGTGAAGGTGTCAACATCAGGGACCGTGGCTTCTCACCGCCTTCCGTCTCTGGAATGCCTCCCTTTCCAGCGGGAAGCCTCTGTCGATGGGATCTTCAATTTCGACGTTCACTAGTCTTTATTTCATCAAACAAAAACTGCTTTCATCTTTCTCTGGTCGCGTACTAAATTTTTAATCGCTAAATATCGAAGAAATCCCTCCTTGGTGTCGTATCCAGGCAGACCACTACTCCGATCGAACCGCCAATATGGCCGCGGCCGATGTTCGCGACATGCTGGATTTGCCCGCAGAAGGGCAGCCCAGACCACACAAGAAGCAGAAGGTGGTCGAAAAGCGACCAGGTAGGTGTAATGCGCTCTATTAGGGATAGTATAGATTACTGACAGCCTCCCGTTGCAGAGGGTATTACTCGTGAATTGTATGCGCTACTGGGCGAAAGGGCGCCGCCGATCGCCATTAATGAGAACAAATACAAGGGCCGTCCAAAATGGATGAACAAGCTGCGCGTTCGGCCATGGTACGTTGAAGATGCGACTCTTCGGAGATCTCGAATGCATGCTGACGTTGGATCATTTATAGGAGCATGGCCCCGTTCACGAACAACGCCCGTTCCGACGGCCTGGTTTTGAACCACTGGCAGAGAAAACACGAGTCGGCGCGACCACCTGTTCCCGCACCTGCACCCGCACCCGCAGAGTCTCAAATGGAAGTGGATAAGCCCAAGGAAGAAGAGAAAGAGGACGTACCGAAACTGCCGGAGCAAGAATATGCCTTCGCCAAGTATAACGTTAAACCGCGTTTGCCCCGTCGATACACAGAAGACGAGTACAATCGACATCTCACAAGTGATGACTGGTCGCGCGAGGAAACGGACTATTTGATGGATCTCGTCACTGACTTCGACATTCGCTGGGTGCTCATCGCAGATCGTTATGACTACCAACCACGAATGGACACGAAGCCGGATTCGAATGCGCTTGTGCCCGCAAAGCACCACCGAACAATGGAACAATTGAAGGCGCGATACTATCAAATTGCTGCAACAATGCTCTCAATAGAGCACCCACCCTCAGAGATGTCTGAGGCCGAGTTCGAACTACACGAGAAGATGCTGAAGTTTGACCCCGACCGAGAGCGTGACCGCAAAGAACTAGCCGCCCTTCAGCTCAACCGCACAGCTGACGAGGTCCGCGAGGAGGCTATGCTACTCGAAGAATTGAAGCGCATCACAAGCAACGAGCAGAACTTCATCACCGAACGGCGGGAGCTCTACTCTCGCCTCGAGGTTCCCATCAGCGTCGGCAACACCACAATGTACCAGTCCAGTGCGGGTCTTTCCCAGCTCCTGCAGACTCTACTTCAAGCCGACAAGAGCAAGAAACGCCGCTCCATTCTCGGCGACGGTGCCATCCCAAGCCCCGCTGGCCAGACTCCATCCACCGCTGGTGGCCTTGGCCGAGCTGAGACCCCCGTCACACAGGCCGCCAACAAGAAGGGATCTGTCACCTCAAAGGAGCCCAATCAAATGGTACGCACGCTCACCTCAGCGGAGGAAGCAAGGTATGGCGTACAACACCACGAGCGTGTCTCAGCCGGCGTGCAATTCCGCAGCGACCGTGCCCAGCGACTCACACAGGCTAAGTCCAACGTGCAAACCCAAAAACTGGCCAATGCGCTATCCGAGCTCGAGATCCCCGTGCGCCTGTTCATGCCCACCGAACGCGTATGCAAGGATTTCGAGAAACTCATCCAGTCTGTCAATATGCTCCTTGATGCTCGCAAGGTGTCCGAAAAGGTTGAAAGTGAGATCCGTGTACTTGAAGCTGCGAAGATGGAGCGCGAGCGCAAATCACGAGAAGCTGCTGGTATCTCGGGGCCAAGTGCTGACCCCGAACATCCCCATGTGAAAAAGGAGACTGAAGACGGCGACACCGGCCTTTTGGGTCATTCTACTGCCACTCAGAATACACAGGGCAATGGTGTTCAGCAAGGGGATGGTAATCACAAGCGGTCTGCTAGTGTACTCAGTGGCGCAAGCGACAAGAGCAACAAGCGACAGCGGAGATAGATGATTTACTTCTCTACTGGTGAATACTATACCCTTGTTGTGTGCACGTGAGAAGTGAGAAGTGTAAGATGTATTAGGGATGGATCACCCTTATTTCTGTACGATTAATGACACCCTGGGAAACATACTCATAATTGAACCAACCCCATCGCCTCGGGTAACAATAACAGCAGAATTGCCTCCTCCAGTCTTCCATAACAGTACTTGTATACTCGTCCAGCCAATATACCCTCGTTACTCTAGTGATGATTGTTACCGTGCATCTTCATCACTCTGCCTCCACCACCAGGCTTGTTCGGCTCGCCCACCGGCTTCCATAAAAGGCTCCGGGCATCCCAATGCACTCCTGATACGAACTCGCGAGCTCCTCTGCCATATCGCTTCTGGTAGAGTTTGCTCGTCCCGGGTCACTCGACGCACACTCTTGGTACGGTACTGGCGATTCCTCGGATGGTTCTTTTGGAGGGAGGTTTGAGCGTTTCTTGCTTTCCCTATTTCTGGAAAACTTCGGTATCCACCGCCCACTACGAGAGCGCGAGGGATCTCCGTTTTGTTTGTCTGCACTCCTGCCACTGGATGGATCGAAGTACACAGAGGGCTGATGGTTGGTCTGATCCACCGAGAAGCGGCGTTCACCAAGTGGTGAAGTATCTGGAGTACAGACAATATGCCCATGGGTTGAATCGCGGTGCATTTCTGGTTGTGGCTGTTTACGTGTGGACCGGCTGACTTTCGCCCATCGACTCAAGAAAGTTTCGTCGACGTCTTCGATATAAAAGCTCTTGGCAGAGGTCGGTGTCTTTGCAGACGTTGGCGACTTTGCAGAAGTAGGCGATTTCATAGAAATTGGCGACCCCATGTGTTGCGCGCCACCTGAACTTGCACGGTGGGCTTCACCTGCAGCCATCCCCGCCCCTGCCAAATCCACTGCCAGCGGTGCGTGACGGTTATCTCGAACTGAATGACTCCTCATTTTGGCCCACATTGTTGGTGTCAAAACAGGTTCCCCTATGGCGTTGGTAGGACTTTTGTTCGTAGGAGACTGTCGGTTATCAGACCTAGGCCCTGAAGTGTCTCTGTGCCAATTCCCGTTCGGGAGTGGTCTGCCGCTCCCTCCAACTGCTGGTGGGTGAGCCTCAGCATTGTCCACCAAGCTATATCCATAGCCCATTCGCCGGCCCCCAGTCATCCAACCGGGACTGACTCTGCGGTGTGGTCCAGCACCGTTGGGGCCGTTGAAAATTCCATGAACCTGGGGCGATTCCCAATTTGCCGCATCAAGTTGCTCAACAAACTTGCTTTTCAGAACCTCGGCAACTGGTTCCAGTTCATTTTGGACGGCCCCAGTCTCAGCTGCCATTTGTGCATGGATGTTGGGCAGGCTATCCATTGCATTCGCAGCATGAACTCTCAGCGATTGAACAGCAGACGCTCCCCGTGAAGGATTACTGCTTTGGCGCGAATAGAAAGAAGACGCATCTCGTTGATGGGAAGTAGCTTGATTCTGGGGCTCGGAACCCCCGATTGTCGATCTTACAGATCTCTCATGATATTGAACATTCTCTTGCGATGCCATTTGTAGCCCATACCTATTTGGGCGTGGAAGTTCCGACATGGATGGATTAGCCGATGGCGGCCCGGATCCCATGCTTGTCCCCGCAAGTCTGTGCGAAAGGTCAAGATCACCAAGATGTGGTACTCGACTCTCGGAATGTGTACCGTGAGAGCTTGTTGGTTGTCGTGTTTTGGAAACCGTAATGCCCGCATCTTCCCTGGCTAGCGATGTCGAGGATGCCGCACGATAATCATTACGGTCTGATCCCATGTACTGAGCCCAGTCAGCCACAAGATTCTGGAGGTTCTCACCGCTACTGCTGCCTTTAAAGCCTTCTCGAGATCGGAGATGTTCTTGATTTGGTAGAGCTAATTCTTCTTGGCTGGCATGAAGGCTTGGGAAAGATTTGGTGAACGTCTTTTGCTCGCCCGACCGCTCATTTTTGAATGAAGGTACCGACTGGCTACCCCTGCCTTCGGCTGCAGAGTCGAGGTGGGCTTTACGCCCTCTCAAACTTCCTGGAGGTGTGGGTATATAATGCATTCCAAAGGGAGTTCCCGGGGTGTCAGATTGATCATGGTTGTTGGCTTTCGCCCACATCTCCAAGTCATTTCGCTCACGGCTGTACTCTATTAGATCATGCAACCCCATCCTGCGAAACGCCGGGCTTCTGGGCGAAGCTCTCACATGTTCGGCATGCTGGGGACTCCCTATACATTGGGCATCACTGTCGTACCCTCGTGTACTCATCAGACTACTACTTCCCATGGCCCCGACCATTGATAGCCCTGTAGTTGCTTTGGGTGCATTTGACTTTAGCTTGATCGAGAAGGGAAAGATGTGGCGGTGTTCCCCGGACTGTCTGGATTCTCTCGAAAATCGATGGCGGAGACGACGCGAAAGACTTGTAGATCTTCGCCTCCGATCTCGAACGGGGTTTAATGTCGATCCTAGCGGAGGGCCTGCGGTATCTCAGGTTAGCCACGTGCCATCTTGAAATCAAGTATTGGTCTGGGCCTTGCCTTGGGCTTGCTCCCTGGGGCCATCCAAATTCTCCATTTGACCATCTCGATATGATTGTGCGAAGCCACTTGGAGAGTCAGGTCGATGTCCCCTTCGAAGACGAGGACATGTAATGAAGAACATTTGGATATGGGATGTTTACAAGATGAACTTCTACATGTTCTTTAATCTCGCCTTATGGGGATTTTGGGGAAGGCATCATTGTCAACGGATGTGCCTTCCATTTCAAAACATCCAGAGGCCGCTCTTAAGGCCGCTCTTGCCATTTATTGAAATAGCTTCGATCCATGGATCAGATTGACATACGGTGATTCCTGCTTCAAGCTCACAACCTTACAAATTTAAACTACAACATACCTAGGTAGCAACTCAATAAACACCAGCCCATCTAGGTAGAAATTATAATACAAGCCGTACCCTCCTATGTTAAAAGAGTTAGCCCCCTATGTGTGTCTAGCACATGACTCGAGTTTTCACGGTCATTGTCATACAACAGCCCTCAGGTGGAGACAAGAGTGGACACTATTACCCAATACATACTAGTGTCAAAAGTGGGTCAGATGCGGGCCGTACCCATAAACCAGTTTTAATATCCCTGTCCTGTCCAGTAGATACAATGGTAGGGTTGTAGTGCACGCAATTTGGGCTGTAGATGTCTAGTAAAACTACGACACAAAATAAAAATGATATTCTTTTGTCATATATAGCTAGATATTCAAACCATCCTGGTTAGGGAGCATGAAAACACATCCAACGAGCCGCAAGATGCAGGGGATGATAGGGCATGTGTTTTTTTGTTTTGCTGTAGAGTTATAATTATTCCTCCCAAATGGAGTGGAAATACTAGCTTCCAGTTCTAAAGATATCTGATCACTGCTTCATGGTTGCAATAAAGTCAAACCGTCAAACCGTCAAGTCCGACTTGTTATGTAAATGATCTGAGGTTTCATGGTACTTTAGTGTCGCAAAATAGTAGCGAAAAGACCAGACAGATTAATACTAGCAGACCAAGTATTTAGAATGATTTGATAACATACCTATGTACTATCACTGCGCATAAATAGGTGAATGTCATTTTTCACTGCTAGCGAGTTTCTTGTAGACTTAGGTTCAGTTTGTTTCGTGTCGGGAGGAACCACTTGAACCAGATGAGGTCAACCTTTTGGATAAACAATATGAGAAATATCTGAGCCTATTTTTGATAGGAATCTGGATACCTCCATTTCCACACAAATTTTGCATTAAATAGAGTATACTATTGTTCAATCGATGTGAGCTACTAATCCTCGATTAAGGACTTTCCTGCAGATGCGTATCCCTGATAAAGTTTTAAATCTCCCTTACTATCACGACCCATCAAACAAGAAGGCCATTGGAAAGCCATAATGGTACTTCATAGATTGATTGGGATATAAGAAGAAACCTCCAATTGAGTTGTGATGTACAACTCCGCCGCCGTTTGAGCATCACAAAACAGAGAAATTGCCTACATTCAAGATTAATTAATCTCAGCTGCACAACAAAAACAAGTTGGGAGTGCATTATTACCTGTGCTGTCTTGAACTGCGCCCTTCCATCCTCACTCGCAACAAAGTGAACCCGATATTGACTCTCGGAGTCGATATATGAGGGATATTTGACAATATCTGTGGCTTTAGCGGTTTTTGCAAACAAGGACATACTTCGACCTCCTCTTTGGGTCTCTCTTGGCCTTCTGCCTACAGTTGATGGTCCCAGTCATTGATTGATACCTACCGGCGATGAAGTGTGACACCATGGACTTTAGTCCTAGTGGCTATTATTGTCAGAAAAGGATTGCCGATGTACTATACAATTAAATATTACATTCAAATGAAAAAAGAACATAGGCAATAGGTTACATATCTACTCTATATATTCACATATCCACAATATTATTCAATACGAGCAAAGTCCCACGTGGTACACTTTGTCGATCGTACATCGCAGTTGCACTGTCCCAGCGTAGGAAAGGTCACATGGAACATTGGGTTGGTTGTTGAATTTGACCCGATGATAGGCTAACAGGTAGAATTCTGAATGCACTCAATACGGCAGGGTTATACCATTCTAATGGATAGCTGTACTCGGGATGCGTAAAAGTGGCCAGGATGTATTCCGATGACATGCAACACGCAGCTCTAAATATTTCAATTCAAGATGCCAAGATTCAAAATTTACCCCGATCTTGTAATACTGTAGAGCGGCATATTTGTGGTTTGATATTGAAGCCTCTGATTGGAAGGACTGCGTTCGGAGATTAACATCTTCTGAGACAGTATAATCCCCTTCTCTCCTAGCCCTTCATTATCCGCCGATCAAATCGAACGAAAAAGAGATTAAAAAACAAAAAGGCAAAGCAAGACATTGTTAGATACAATACTTTATATTTCGTTCGAGCACTTGCTGCTTGAAGATGGTGTCATTATACAAGGCTAGAATGTCAACCACCCCAAAATATTGAGGAACAACATCCTAGATACTAATATAACCAACCCCATTTCTATTGCAATTTGCTTGACAACTATACTAAGTGAAAGTACCCGGAGATATACTTGGAAAACCATGAATAATAATCGTTGGGATAGAAATACCCCATGATCCTGATCATCCGTATGAAAGTTTGACCATAATCCTATAATTTCCCAAGTAGGGTCTCTGCAAATGTTCATCATCGCATGTACATCATGTACATCATCTTTAAAGCGTAATGCAAATCCTGGTTCCCGTTCCGCATTCTTAATGACCGCAGAGAATGTGCAGGATCGACAAGGGAGATAATATAATGATGGTAAGATCAACCTAAATTTTACTACTTCTTATATGGATTATGAGCTTACGTCCTCGGTGGGTCAAAAACTTCAACATCTTTATTGCTGTCCCTTGCATGTGTCTACTAGATCTACCGGATCTGCCAGCTACATACAGGGGTTTCTTGCCATTCAATCAATATCTATATGACATCCTAAACATATGTGTTCACAGTAAAAGTCCAATTAAAGAATGCCTGGGCTCAATTATATAAAGTTCCTTTCCCAGCCCAATCCAGTTAAGCTTAACCTCAGTACCCGATTCATAGATCATTATGCTCATCGCTACTCCCCAAGTACGGTTGGAGGTAGGCCACGCTCTCGAACTCCAGGGTTTAAAGCGCACCGGAGATGAGAAGAATCTCGTGGGTTGGGCTGCCATGAACCCACGCCATCCGCGGAATTGGAGCAAGACGAGGAAGGCGTATGATGTTTCACTTATCATCTTTTTAGAATTTTATACGTGAGTTTTGCAGTTATCGATAATTGACTGAGGTTGACCTTTTTTTTTTCGAATTAGGACTGCAGTGAGCACATCAGGGGTATGAGTCGTCGAATCCAGAGTGTCATTATATTTCAAATGTTAACTTATATGCAGGCTACAGCCGCCAGAAATGCACAGAAACACTTTGGAATTGGCGAGACCCTGTCTGTGTTTCTATACATATCAACGTAAGTCGTTCTCCATCGTTATGATTGTCGTTCATGGCAAATGCTTATTGGACGAAACAAAAAGATATCTCCTCGCGCAAGGTATTGGTAGCATAGTGCTGCCTCCTTACTCTGAATGCTACGGTCGAAAAAAGCTATATGTGGGCAGCACTGCGGTGTACAGTATATTCTGCGCGTTGATTTCAGCGGCGGAGTTGCCTGGCATAGGGGCTTTCGGACGTCTCATCACGGGTTTTTTGTCTGCGGTCCCGAGTGCTGTCATCAATGGCAGCATACAAGACATGTTCGGCACCAAGGAGCTTATATGGCTTACATTACCGTACATGGCCATGTCAAATTTGGGTATCGCAATGGGGCCGGTGATGAGCGCATATATCACAGCTGCTTGGGGATGGTAAGTACCATCCCAGATCAAAAAAGGACGAGGGTGTGCACAAAAACCAATCATAAAACTAACAAATCATTGTAGGAAATGGGTTTTCTATGTCGCCGCCATAGTCACCGGAATCCTAGCCGTTTTGCTACTCACGATTCGTGAATCCCGTCCAACAGTTCTGCTGACACAGGAGGTTCAACACCTACGTCACGTTACTGGGGATTACTCTCTCCAAGCACTGAACCCAGACAGAGTCCCAGATATCCGGTCGTTCGCGCGGAATTTCGCCTTCCGACCAGCCCAGCTCCTCTTCACAGAGCCCATCATTGCAGCAGTCTCAATCGTGTGCGGCATCTCCACTGGTCTTATCTATCTATTCACAGACATCCTGCCCGGAGTTTATAAATCCTTTGGTCTTACATCCACGCAAGCCAGTCTCCCGTTCCTAGCCCTAGGCTTCGGATTCCTTCCCAATATAGGTACCCGCTTCCTCGAATATCGCAAAACAGCACGCCGGCGCCAGCGTGGAGAACCAGTTATTCCCGAGCACAAACTAACTGGGTACATTATTGCTGCACCAGTCCTAATGATCGCACTTTGGTGGTTCGCATGGACGATCCCACCCGCCGTGCATGTGCATTACTTTGCATCTGTGGTACCGCTCTTCCTAACCGGATTCGCGATCAATGAGTTCGGCATTGTACTGGTGGGATACATGTCGGATAGCTATAGGTCGTACTCGGCTAGCGGATTTGCAGCGCTGGGTCTGGTGCGATGTGTCCTGGCCGCTTCGTTTCCGTTGTTTTCTGGGCGAATGTTTAGCGAGCTGGGACCGAATGGGGCCATGTGTGTGCTAGCTGGTCTGGCCACTGGGTTTTGTATTCTGTCGCCTGTCCTGAGGATATATGGGGAACGTTTGAGAAAGTCGAGCAAGTTTGCTGCGCATTGTGTGGATGTTGATGCGGATAATACATTCGAGCGGACATGATACTTGTGGTGCATTATGTATAGTGATGTTATAAGGACTTCATTTATACCCTGAAGGGGGAATCAGCAAAGTCCATTTGAGGACAGGAAGTGCACCAAATGTGGATAAGGAACCATGTACTCGACAAAGATGCCGTGATATGAGCTTTTAACTTTCGCTTAATGAGTAGTGTGTGAAAGGTCTACTCATTCTTTCTTCTGTTAACATGTAAACCAACAAACTAGCGTACCAAATGACTGCATTCGTATCATCTACATCTCATTGAATTCCAGGACTATTTTCACCGCAATGGTCGATTTCATACCTGTCAAATAACTCGGATAGTCCGGATTCATCGTAGGTCACCTACCTTTCACCACTGGGGCCTATCTCATGTATGCGCAGAGCTTCAGTAGTCAGCAGTTCGTGCGCTTGGTTATAAGGCCCCTGCAGATATCCTGCATGCTGTGGTGGCGGGCTCAGGCTGATAAACGACTGCTCTTGTGACAAGGAGGGTTGGTCTTGCCCTCGGCGATAGATCCACCAGAATATGACGGCTGCAACAACGGTGACACCTGCAAGAGGACCAATAACAGCGCCCGCAATCCAAGCTTTACTAGAGCCTTTTTTTTGCGGCCACGGTAGGTCTTGGTGATTGACTGGCTTGCGAATCTGTGGTTGTTGAAGTTGTAGTAGTTGTGGTCGATCGACCGGTTTGTGACGTCATAGTGGATAGGGTTGGAGAGGACGCTGGAATTCTGATTAGTCGGGAGTATTCTATCTATAGATCCTGTTCCTTGAAAGGATCATGATGGGGACGCAGTACTTGGCTCTGTTGTTGTTGTTGTTGTTGTTGTTGTTGTTGTTGTTGTTGTTGTTGTTGTTGTTGTTGTTGTTGTTGTTGTTGTTGTTGTTGTTGTTGTTGTTGTTGTTGTTGCTTGCAATTGGCGATAGATTATGTTTGCTTTCCAAGAAAATCCACAAGAAATATCAATCGCCGAGGGTGTTCTATATGAGGATGTTTGAAAGATTGTCATGGTGACACATATAGCGATGTCACTATGGGGCAGAACAGAGCCCAAGTGAATATTCATATTCATCAGCTGGAATGTACTGATATTGATAGGCAACTCACCAAGACCCGGTGGCACCATCATCATATGTGATGATGCTATTATCGCAGTTTGTTGCATATAGGCATGAAGTCCCATCACAAACGCCTGCATAGCTCCCCAATGTAGCCCATGTTTGTGTGTCCATCACTGCCTTGGCCGTGAAAGAGATGTCAGTAGAATCTATCCAAAGGGTAAAAATCGTGTCAAAGAGGGCATTCGTACTAGTTGACAGACCCAAATACCATCCCATAAATCCTGTTTCAGTTTGCACCGAGGTGTCTAGTTCGGTGGTGGTTTGGCCATGGACTCCACAGGGGGCCAAAGGCCTGTACCGAAAAAGATCAGCGTAAGGCATGACCAAAAACGTGACAATGAGGTGGGAATCATTGACTTCTCGAACTAGGTATTTATCAACTGGAACTCGACCAATTAGAATTTCTGTACATCCACGTGGCTGACTATAGTTCAAAAAGGGACGAACCGGGATCAGGAATTACAATTATCGAGCAATAAGCAGGTTAGCCTGGTCTGGGAAAACTGTCTTGCTTAGATCAATAGAGGAACTGGGGAAACTGCAGAGAAGGTGAGAAAAGGGGGTGTTGACTGGAACTGAAATAATATACATCGTACATAATACATATACTGTTTCTGCTGTTTCCCACCCAATCGATACGAACGAGACCATTAGTACGCAAGTAGATAAAATCTCCCTATGATATCTTGTAATAGATCATGTACTAATGAAGAAAGTTCAATCCAACTTTGACTAGTCCTTTAGATCGCCTTGGCAACAGACTAGCAGGGACACACAAACGCCCAAATTGATCTATGTTAATCATTCATTCTACATCCGTCTTGCTCGAATCAGGTAGTGGGGCAATGGAAATTAGGGAAAATCCGGTGGGCTCAGCCGCACGCTAAAGTGGATTGGATTGCTGACATTATGTGGATTTCTTTGAATATCCTAGAACATCCCGGTTTCTTTGGTCGAATTTCATATATTCGCATGTTTCCCCGTGTCATCTTTGCGGCTCTTCGCTCAATCTTTCAATGTCGACCAACTTGAAGAACTCGCGCTCCTTGCGCTTGACCCTCGCTCTAATAATTCCATTTGTGCTCCTTTTTTATCTTTACTCGTGGAATCAAACACCCACTTTGGTTTCCAGTCCCACCACACCGCAATCTTTCGAGACAACGACCGGCGCAGGGGGCTCAACCTCAATATCAGTTTCTCCGGAGGCTCCGGAGGAACCTTCGGCTAGCGAAAGTCATCCTACTACTTCCCCTGCACCAATTTACTCTCTTCCAGACAAGGTCTGGCATTCTGCCAAGTTTGATAATCTATCAGAAAACCAGCGCGAATGGACCGGCAGCTGGACAAGAAAAAACCCATCGCTCCGCCAAGAATTGCTGACTGATCGATCGGCTGAAGCATTCGTTCGCGCTCATTATTTCAAAACGCGACCGGATATCGTCGAAGTCTATGAAGCCCTACCAATCCCGATCCTACGTGCGGACCTGTTCCGTTACCTGGTTGTTCTCGCTGAAGGCGGAATTTGGGGCGATTTAGATACCTCGTGCGAGAAAGATGTCGCTGAGTGGGTACCCTTGGAGTACCGGAATGAGAACATCGACATGATCGTCGGATTGGAATTCGACTTTGACTCGCGGGGGCCGGGAACGGAAGTTGCCTCCCAGTTCTGCAATTGGGTATTTGTTGGACGAAAGTCTTCGCGCAATCTTCAAGTTATTGTTGACACTGTCCTCAATAAATTGAAGGGTATTGCTAAAGCAAACGCTGTGGGCATCGACGGGATTACTCTAGAAATGCTTTCGGACGTGGTCAACGTGACGGGGCCCAAGATTATGACGGTCGCGATCATGCAGAGTCTCGGGCAATTGCTTGGTAGAACCGTCGATGATCGCGATTTCGCACACACTAAACGGCCCAAGCTGGTTGGTGATGTTTTGATCATGCCCGGAGTCTCTTTCGCTGCCCTTCAAAACGGGAACCCGACAGATCAAGGTGATCCTCTTGTGACGCATCATTACGAGGGCTCGTGGAAGAAAGAGGATGCAGAAGCAAAGGAGCGGAAAAAGCAGAAGCAAGAACAAGAACAGCAGCAACAACAGCAAGAGGGATCACCACCAGCAGCTCCCGCTGCTGCTGCGACCTGATCAAAGTACGACAACGAGCGAAGAGCGACGGGTTGCTATCTTCTTGCCTTGTTCTTTTCTTTTTCCCCCGGGCGGGGTGTCATTTCTTTATTCAAATCCCAACAGAGAGTATTGGAGATTCAAGAACATAATATGTAACTATCGTCCGGAGTTTTGTCTATTTTCGGTTCATGTCATTTAGCGTGGTATTTCAAGCAAGTGTCGAGGTTTTACGTTGATCATCTTAAACCCCCCAGCAGGAGAACTATCTCCCAGAGAGACCACATTCAAGTTTACGCCCATATTTTGTGTATTGGACACGCCCGAACAAAGCCAACCATACCACTATAGGTATTGGCCGCCTTGTGCCGCCAAGTTGTGGGCTTTTAGTCGTCCAAATAGTGCACAACAACTCATGCCTCATGCCTAACGCAATATGGAAGAGAAGCCCTTGTGGCGCTCGAACTAGTTGGAGAAACTAGGACATCAGGACCTACATCAAGAGGCAATAGATATTTAGTACGCAGAAATCGAAGAAAAAATGGAAATGAAACGCGAGAATCGTCGAATACAGCAGGAAGAGGAACAGGTATAAATCGACTGTCAACGGCAGAGACAGTATGGATTCATAATTGGGTCCAATTCAATAGCAAATTAAGATACAAATCCGGGAACCCTTGCAAGGAGGCAAGTTGCGATCCTGCCATCACTGACCGCCAAATCCAAACCCTGAGGATGGGGCACGTGATGAAGCTCTACCCTATGTAGATCGATAAAAATAGTACGCTCGGTATGTGGGTCAGTTCCAAAGCCGGATCTTGCCGACCTCGGGAGCAGATCGCCCTGCCGGTGGAGCTGCATGTATACAAATACTCCACTTGGACCTTTCAAAAGCTTGACTCTGCCAAGAGAAGGATATTGAGACAAACAGGCGGCATGTACTTAGAAATAAGCCAGGCGAGCTTTGAAAGGTTCTCCACTGCAAGTACCCGACGAAGACGCACCCCCAACGCTATTACAAACGGCAAGCTAAGACTTGAGCAGTATTCTGCGGCTATAATGGAGGATATCGGGACTTCCCAACACAAATATTAGTAGAGATGAAGGTAATCCGCCGTAGAGGAGTCATCACGGGGCAAATTGTACAACTCCTCCGCCAATTTAGGTCGATACTTGTGTCACTTCGAATTGAAATGAATCAAACTGACGGTTGTATACTCGTAATCATTCAAATTGGAGATATCTTCCAAACCTATTTAAATCTAGCAGAATGTGAGGCGGTCAGATACCGCCTCGTCGCTTCCTACTTTGTATATTATGTAGTCAGTCTTGTCCAGGTGGCATGTGGTACCTGTAGACATAAGGTTGTTTCTCTCGCGTCTTCTCCTTTTCTTTTACTTGTCCCATAAACAACGCGTGCAACTGTTACACAGAAACCCCCCCAGTTTTTGCATTTTCGGGCTTGGTTGTTCCTCTCATATCTATCCACAGCAATCATCAAAACTGACTGGAATATAGCCAAGATGCGAATTCACCTTCTTCTGGCAGGACTCTTCCTGTTCTTAGCAGTTGCTACAGCTAGTGTTCCAGCGATCGAGATCAAAGCAAGTATATCTACACTGTCTCGGGGGATTCAAGAAACTAACGGGATTTATTCACAGGGATCTAAGCTCTTCTATTCAAACAACGGCACACAATTGTGAGTGGAATAACCATTTCAAACTGTTTCAGTTGCTGATTTCGCGACTAGTTACATCCGTGGCATTGCCTATCAGGGTACGCAAGCTAGATGATCCAGATACTCCAGTGACCTTAAACTGACACTATCTAGAGGACTACAATGCCGGAGGTGCTACAGGTACCGGCCAATCAAGTGATCCTCACTACACTGACCCTCTGGCGGATGTTTCTCACTGCGAACGTGATATTCCATACCTCCAGCAACTGCGAACCAACGTCATCCGGGTGTACGCTGTCGACCCAACCAAAGACCACGATGCTTGTATGCAGAAATTGGCCGATGCAGGAATTTATGTTATCGCCGATCTGTCGTCTCCTCAGTTGTCAATTATTTCCAACTCGCCAACTTGGACCGTTGCACAATATGATCGATACACCGCCGTGGTTGATGCTTTGCATCAGTATGAAAATGTGATTGGTTTCTTTGCCGGGAATGAGGTCGTGAACAAAGTCAACGAGACGATCGGCTCAGCATTTGTCAAAGCAGCGGTGCGCGACATGAAAGCATACATAAAAGAGAAGGGATACAGGAAGTCATTGGGCTTTGGTTATGCAACTACCGACCAACCCGATTTTCGCAACGAGCTGTCAGACTATCTCTACTGCGGAGATCAGTCCACCGCTATCGATTTCTTCGGTTACAACATGTACGAGTGGTGTGGAGACAACACGTTCCAGGGTTCTGGCTACACAAACCTCACAGAGCAGTACAAGGATTACCCTGTCCCAATCTTCTTCTCCGAGTATGGATGTAACACTGTCAGGCCTCGCAAGTTTGGCGACATTTCTGCAATCTTCGGACCTGAAATGGAAAATGTCTGGAGTGGTGGGATTGTTTATATGTACTTCGAAAGTACCAACAACTACGGGCTTGTCTCTGTTGACGGAAACTCTGTGACCACCCAACCAGACTTCAGTTACTACTCGAAGGCAATTCAGACTGCGACTCCCAGTGGTGTAAACAGCGGCAGTTACACCCCCACAAACTCTCCGCATGCCTGTCCCACCGTCAATAGTATGTGGTTGGCAAAGTCCAGCCCGCTACCACCATCCCCGAACAAAGACCTGTGTTCATGCATGGTGGACAGTCTCTCGTGTGTAGTAGGTCAATCTGTACACGCGGATCAATACGGCGAATTGTTTGGTACAGTGTGCGGAAGCGACAAGAGTGCCTGCGATGGGATTTCCGAGAACGCAACCACAGGACAGTATGGTGCCTACAGCGTCTGCGAGAGCAAAGATCAACTCTCTTACATCTTCGACCGCTACTACCAAGACCAGAAAAAGGATCAGTCGGCGTGCGATTTCAAGGGAGCCGCATCAACTCAGTCTGCCAAGGGTCCTTCCGGAAGTTGCAAGGCACTTCTCGGCCAGGCAGGCACAGCTGGAACGGGCCAGGCCACAGGTGGAAAAACGTCCTCGTCCAAAGGGGCAGGTGCTAATCTGGTGGGCCCAGATTATGTGACTCTCGGTCTACAGTTGATCGGGGTCATCTTGGCTCAATGCATCCTGGTTCCATTCATCACTATGTTGATCACCCCCCCGGAGTTCTGGATGCGCATTATCTATGGAGCTGCTAATGGCCGTCGCGATTAGCGTATTCACTGATAGCAGATAGTACCCAATTACCGATAGTCCCACTCGTTGGCGACCCCTTTAATTGAAACAAGTTTGATATTTTAATCGTTCCAGATAGCAAGGCTGAAGTAGTGGCGATAACGACAATGTTCTGGATGTAGAGTGAAAGGTAGATATCGCTGGAATATTCAACGTAGTCTATGGTAAATCTTCGCATATATTTACGGAACGTTGGCTCTAGATTTACCATGAATTTCGAAATTTAGTCGTTCCTTCGTCTGGATAGGGTGGATCCAATCTCGTTGTTGCATCGACTGATCTTTACATTTGCATGTAGATATCGTCTTCAAAGAAATTTGCGTCCAATAACAAATCCTGCATGCCCATTTTCCTTGAGAAATACTTCTCTCCCTAGACACCCTTTTTACTAAACGCGTTGTGTGTCGAAACTCCGATGAATTACCTGGGCGGTCGACACTCAAGACCTCGGGATAAAGACCTGTTTAGTAAGCAATGTGCCCCCGCCCCACGTGGGGCCTAAGACCGGGGCTTACAATTTTTTTTACAAAAAATTACAGATCTTCCTCACGCCCCCATCCCATCGCATTCCCCTCTTTGAACCCTTTCCCTCTTTTCAGACGTCAAGTCAAATACCGCAAAAATGGGCAACGTAAGAAGCAATCCCCAAGCCCTACAGACAACGTCAGACCATTCTGATCTCTTTGTTTGGGTCGTCAACGCGCAGTGAACTAACAATACTTGACAGGGAGCCAAGGCAAACATGAAGCGCGAGCGCAACGCGAAGGAACAGAAGACCGCCAAGTCGCAGACCAAGAGCGTACGTCAATGTCTGCAACGTCCATATTGCCCCTCCAACCACTGACACACATTATCATCTAGAACGAGAAAGCCATGAGCATCCAGTGCCAGGTCTGCAGACAGACTTTCCTCCAGACCACCAAGGCGCCTGCGTACGTTACTTCACACCCTCAATCCATTCGCGATTCTTTCGTTCCTGTCGGTGTATATGGGTTTCCTTACTAACATACATATTCGCGCGACTATAGCCTCCTCGAGCACGCCTCCAACAAGCACAGCAAGGGTCTTCCCGAGTGCTTCCCCGGTATCAGCGCATAGACAATCGTCCCGGCGGAACCGAAACCAATCTTCATTACGAATATCACGGGTTAGCATGGCTTTAGGAGTTTTGATGGAAAGCGAAAATATCTAAGAACTGGACTTGGGAGAGTGGACACTTTGCGTAGGCAACTATGTAGGTGTAGGGGGTGAAGTTCTCATGGGGTGTATATGTAGTGGTGGTGTGAAGGCGCCTTATGATTATAGATGCAGTTGACCATATATGATCTTTCTCTCCCTCCATGCTCATTGATTGGGCGCTAAAGTGCTAACAGACGGGGGCGGGAATTCTCCCTATCAATATTTACAGATGCGGAGATTTGGTATGGGCCACGGTTGTAGGCCTGCGGGGCAAAGAAGGGTTGTAGAATTATTTCCTTTTTGGTATACTACATGATTATATTGATCATATTGGAGATTTAAATAAGCAAGTATCTCAAATTTAAGTCAACGGGAAGCAAAGAAATTAGCAAAGATTACAGAACTATATCTCACGAATGAGAAGGCACATAAAGATCCACGTGCTCGGGTAACTGATCATGGGTTCTCTTGGGGCCGCACCTTGAAATGTCTTGGATCCCTACCTACCTACATAGGTACTTCAGCAGTGCCCAGGTATGTTGTAAATGCAACCGCTAGATGACGAAAATAAAATCAACACCCATAAGATAGCACTGTCTCTGTGGTATCTGAAGGTCATCGACCTAAACCCCCAAGATCACCAAGAGTCGATTGTCGTGCTTCATAGACAAATGGGTAGACTTGTACGGAGTACTTGAGGGGGACTTTTTCTATGTACCAAGTCGATGGTTGGACTGCGATCGCCCAAAGTCCAAGCCACGAGACTTGCCTTCAAACGGACTCATTAAAGCGGGAAGTTATTTATAGTTGGAGCTAAGTCACTGGGCGATTATAATGGGCCAAGGTGGAGGGGGAGAGAAGCCGCCGGGTTCGAAGGCCACAAGCCGTACAGACCATAACCAACTAGCGAATAACTTTAGAAAATTGTGCTTGTAGCTGTCTTGGCTAAGGCTTGAGTGATAGGGCTGCGATTTCTGTGCCAAATTCAGTGCCAAGAGCCAGCGCCAAGTTGAAAATAAGCTAAGAATGAAACTGTAACATGGAGCGCACAGGTCGCTCGTATAGGAGGTTTATACTCAGCCCTGAGACGCAGGGGGAATTAGGGCTTGGGGCACTCCGTAGAATAAGAAGCAAAACATTTGCCGTGGTAGATATTCCGTTTTTTTTTTTTTTTTTTTTTCTCGATCTCCCCGTGGGGAAGACAATCCCAAGATGGAGACAACCCCCGGCTCTGTTCCTCTGCGGCAACTCCCGAGCTCAGACGATCTCCATCATGAAGCGCCCGAATACACTGGGCATGATTCCTCATCTGATTCTTCTCCGCTACATGATGAGGAACTTCCATCATATAGCCAGGTGCAGTCAACGAGACCATTACAGCACAATCCATCCTTTCCCCGATTGGCCTGGATATCTTTATTCTCGATTATTTACGTCGCTCTCGTCATCTATACTTGGACCATGACCGCCATACTGTCAAGCCGCCCCCTCAAATCCAGCTCTTGGATGTATTCGACTGAAACCTTACACTACCCTTACTATCGTAAGGATAAAACAGATTTCGATCAAGAGCGAAAGATCTATCGCTCTGTGCGGATTATTCAGGCATTTATTCAAGTTGTTACTCTTCCCTGGATCTCCACGGTGTGTGCTAGTGCCGCTGTAATCTTTGCACAGAATCAAAAGAATTCTATAGGCCGCCAAGCCACAACTTTGGCTGACCGCGAGTGGATGGACTTCTCCTTATATCGAGCACTGATTTGTGGGAGATGGAGGCAATACGGCAGGAAAGTACTGGCCGCTGCAATCTTCATCTGGGTGTTTGGTCTCATCACATATCCCATCCAGTCGGTCTTTCTCAGTCCACGGTCTGTCAAAGTCCGGACATCTCCCCAACAGAGAACCGATATCTACGCTTCTCGCCCGTTGTATTCAACATTATCTGGTATCGGCAAGGACGTGTTGCAAGTCCGCGATGCTCTCAACAAAGCAAATACCTATGCCTACCAACCGAACTTGTGGAGTAACAATAGTGGAGTGCAATTCTTAACTCTTAACGATCTGTCCTCTCAAACGTTCTACTCCCAAGTTCCGAGTGGTTTCAATACAGGACTGATTCGTCAATTCGCACCACGTGTGAACTCCACAGCTACATATGAGATCATAGAAGCGTCCCAGTTTCCAGTCAACTGCGGTTCAAGCTCAGAGGCATTTTATGCTGAGCATTCAGCTTCGTACGCGTGGTACAGTACATTCTTTTGGGGAGTCACTGCGTGCATGCCAGGAAATATGACAAAATCACCTTGGCAGACGGATCGCAACCGACATGAATTCTCTGAGGTTCTCTATCTCAATATGACACAAAACGAGTACTTAGATGGTTCTGGTCAAGCGGTTCTTTACCGAATCACTGTGAACACTACGGCCGGGTTCTTTGAATTACCCAACTATATGAACCAGGGTGTACCTGGCCCCTTACTGGACAAAGATCCAGTAGATATTTGTGATCAATATTGTTTGGAACAAAACCACACATACTATTCGGGGGGTATCGCCGCCGCGATGAGAGCACAGCGGGCAGTACTCTCAAAGCTGCATCGCTGGATGCCATCTCAACAAAGAGCAAAGGACCCTTGTTATCGGGCGTCATAGCAATGTTCGGCCCTGGTTCCTTTATTGACACATTCATGGCAACTGCTGCAGCTCTTGAAGAAGACAAGGTTACCGATGAGGCGTTGTCAAACTTGCGAGATATCTGCATTGCGAACGCCCCACTCACCAATCTGCTAGGGACTTCATCTTCAGGGTGTATGTCTATTATGAGCTCTGTAAATGGCACCTGGTACCCTGCCGGATCACAGATTGCGGATTGGATTCAACAGTTCGAAGAATCCGCGGATTCGATTCCACTTGCCTTCGCAGGTGCGGCGTTTCTTGCCAATCAGGAACTCCTTTCCAGTCAGGCCGGTGGATGGTATATCTACCAAGATTTGGGCATAGATATGGATCTTCCATCAATATCTCGCGAGGGAATCATCGTAATCTCGATCTTGATGGGACTCTACTTGGTACCTCTATTAGCTTTTTCACTCTACGCAGATTGTTATTCACGATGAACGAAACATTGGATCCCTTCGACATTCTCCGATTTGGTGCTAATAAGGTCTTCCCTTGGCTAGTTGGATGCACGACTGATAAATTTCCTGAGCTATATGTGATACCAAGCGTTCTTCGGGGAATGTATAAATACCAGATTAAAGCACACTGTCACTCCTCTAATGATCAATTTAAATTAATAATGGGTTGGAGAATGGAAAATTATTGACCCATGAGTCAAACCTACATGTGTAGCAAAAAGGCCCCTATTTCCAAATTATGAAACTAACTCTTAAAATCGAAGTTAATGCATTTAACAACTTCGAAAGTATAGCCTACTCATATTAGAATAATCGCTGGGTAGTCTAATATACGGGAGCTTTATAACTTAGGAGAAGGAACAATTAAAGGCTCTGAAAGAAGTAGCACTTCGATTAATGGAGAAACTGTTGAATGAATCAATGTTCATGTCCAGGTGATGCTAGATTTCGTTTATATTTGAGCCGGAGCTCTAAACTGCTGTCTCTGATTTCTACCCTTTTTTTCAGATATTCATATTGATATTTTAGTGACTGATCTCTCTTTAGATGACCACGGACCTTTATATTGAGAGATAATACTTGTATGTAACCTCGAAACCATGATACTACCTCCTAATACATGAGTAAAATGCCAGTCAAATTTGTAATCTGACGAGGCTGGGCTTCATCTTACCTGCACTAGCGCAGTGACAGTGTATCCGTCCTTTCACATATGTTGAGTACGGGCGAGTAAGTATGCCACTGGTTCATAACCATTTCATTAGTTCATATTGCCAGGCGGTTGTTGATATCAGAGATCGCGGAGATCGCCGGAAAGGGGGCCCCCAGCGGCACGTGGCCGCTCCCGAACAGGGACCTTGGGACCTTGCAACATGTACGTGCGTTACCTAGGTGCAACGGGTACTACATAGGTACTCCGTATATACCTAGGCATTAGGCCCCAAAATCCATTAGGGACCACATCAGGCATAATGCATGATCACGTGGGTCAGCCTCGTTCTCAATTGACACGTCACGCCAACAGTCAGCTTGATTGAGGTTTGTCGACGGCAAAGAAATTGTCCCCTCGTACGTATATCTTTAGTTTACACACACACACACACACACACACACACACACACACACATATATACATACACAATATGACCAACAATGGTGAGAAGAGAGCATCTGTAATCATGTTTGTGTCTTTTCCTGATAGATTGTCTGGACTTTTTGATGGCAGATCTGTGGGAAAAAGCCATCAAGCAACTCGACGAAAAGCTTCAGAAGAAAATTCGATCTCGCAGCCAACAATTTGTGAACCTCGAAAGCGTATTGTCTAGCGCTGAAAAAAACAGAAAGAGTGCGCCGCCAACCACTCGACATATACAAAGCGAGATGGATCTAAGATAGAATACCGTCAAGTATTTGGCCAGGTGGTGCAACGACTTTTAAAGTTCAAGGCCATCGGTGATTCTGTAGCTGCGATTGATCCCACTCACCTAGCAGTCCCCTGGGCAGCAATTAGTTTGGTTCTTCAGGTTACAGTGAAGGATTTTGAAAGTAATCAGACTCTGTGTGAAGGAATTGAGATTTTCTCCGGCTTGGTTCCACGATATGCCTTGTTTGAGCGTTTGTACCTGCGTCCCACATTCCCTCTTCAGGATGCGTTGCAACAGGCATTGGTCAAGTTATATGCTACGGCGCTGAAGTACCTCCTCAAGGCCCAAGAGTACTATACCACGAAAACCATCAGTATGTATTTCCCTTCCTCTGGAAAAAGTTTCTCCAAGGTCGAATGTCAGGATTACTCACCTTCCCGGGAAACAAATAGAGAGACTTTCTAAAGGCCTCATCCTTGCCTACGATGAGTTTGACGGGTGGATGGATGAGATCAGAGAGCAACAGCGAATTGCAGACGAGTCGGCGCGATTGATTGACGCCCGGGGTAAATAACTTTCCACGAGGGTTTATTCGCCAGCTATAGCTGACTTTGCTCTTCCTACGCAGCTAACAGAGACTCGGATGACACACTGGACTCGATCAAAAGAGAACAGGATTCTCTGATAGAAGGCTTGCAGTATTTTCACGAGCCTATCCAATTTATCCGAGATGGCGTGGTGGGTTTGATGAATAGCTGGACGAGCAAGTTGAATTTCTTTCTAGCTACTGGTTTTAAGCTGACTATTTATTGCGATGTACAGAGCGCGAAAGGGACGAGCAGGAGTGCCGGATCCTCAACTGGCTCATTCGCCTCCCCCTGGATGGGGTTCACAGACACAGGCTAGAGGCTCGTCTGCCTGACTCTGGTCACTGGATATTCGAGGAAGAGAACTACAAGCAATGGCGTGTATCCAGCAAATCAGCTCTATTATGGCTCCATGGACCCCGTAAGCTTTGTGGCGGTCCCATTTATTCTCAAGCAAATAGAGTACTAACCTGGTTTTTAGCGGGGTCGGGAAAGAGTACAATGATGTATGCCTGACTTTTCTTCAACCCAGATCGTGACATTCGAAAGGCGGTGTTAACTTTTAATTCAGGTCCACGATCATTGGTAGCCTGCAGGCCAACCACGCACATGCTCCAGGTGGCCCTCTTGCCTACGCCTTCTTCTCGCGCAACGATTCTGATCGACGCTGGCAAGACCCTGTGACCCTCGTGTGCTGCCTAATTGCCCAGCTCGCTCGCTCAGGACCCTCGGCCTTATTGCGCGGAGAGGTCATTCGCGCCTATGAGACTATGGTGCAGGAAAGGGGTGAGATTGCAGTTGCAGATGGAGCCCGTCCTGCGTGGAACGATGCAATCCGGCTTCTCTTGGAACTCATAGACAGCGGAACTACCACTATCTGCATTGATGCAATTGACGAGTGCGCTGAAGATCTCCGTGGTGATTTCTTTGATTTGATTGATTGTCTACTGACCAGAACCGATGGGGGGCGAGTCAAAATTATCATCTCCAGTCGCCCATCGCTGAATATTCTGGGTCGATTCCCCTTGTGGCCGTCTGATAGCATTGATGTGGGTCAGAACAGTGCAGACCTTCGGGCCTATGCTCGGAATAGAGCTGCGGAATGTGTCAAAAGGATGAGGCAACGTGCTCACCCTGTTCCGGATAATTGGGAGGAAACCTCAACACAGCAGTTGATTGAGGGCTCTCAGGGCATGTAAGTTCACAAACCCCCCTCAATCGCTCCAAAGTTCGTCAATTGGATCTGTCAAGCTTACGAAAACAGGTTCCTCTGGGTCAAACTGCGCGCCAGTACGCTACTCCTCCAGTCCGACAGTACGATCTTTGAGGGAGATTTGCTATTGCAGCCATCCAGCGATCTGCCCGAAGCTCTGATCCGGCTTTTCGAAACTATCTACGCCAGAATCATTGCCAGTAGTCCGCAAGGATCAATAACACGCCAAGCAGTCTTCACACTATTCCGATGGCTATTGTGTGCACAGGCGCCTATCCCAGCAGAAGACCTCATCCGCGCTCTCGCTGTCTTGATAGCAAAAGACAGGATTGCCTCCAATACACAGGGCACAAATATTACTGTTCCTATGGTACTGGAGAGCTGTCAAGATTTGGTGGTCGTCGATCAAGACAGCAACGAAATCCGCTTCGTCCACACGTCAATACGTGATTTTCTCAAGCTCAAGGACGGGATGCAATCGGTAGAACAACATGCTGCGGTGGCCCATCTCTGTTTAGCCACTGTGCAGAATCTGGCGATAGAACCACCGACGACCTCCTTGCCGCGCGACAAGTTTCACTACTATGTGGTGCTCTATTGGGCCTTACATGTAGAGCAGGCAGGCCAAGAGCATCAAATCCAAACCATACATGACGCATTTGATGACCTATGCCATGAGCAACCTTGGTTTAAATCCTGGCTCCCCGAGATTCAGCCTGCTTCTTCGCTCATTCTTGAGTGGAATGACCCTCATAAAGACAAGATCATACAGGCTATTAGCTCACCAGCCACATCGTTTTTCACTGCCTGTGCGTTTGGTTTTACCAAGGTTGTTCGATACTGCATCCAATCCAACAGCAATCTAATTCACCACGCGAATGATATGGGCGCTACGGGCCTGCACCTCGCTTCTGAATATGGCCACGAGGAGATTGCCGAGGCGCTTTGCAAAGCCGGCGCTGATGTAAATTCTACTGATACCGACGGCGAGACCCCTCTGATTCGCGCGGCCGCGGGTGGCTACAAAGTTCTAGTGTTGATGTTGCTAGATAAGGAGTCCAATATACGAGCTCAGGGCCAGCGATACGGAACAGCGTTGCACGGTGCGGCTCTTCATGGCCATTTGGATGTGGTTGAGATTCTTCTCGATCGTGGTGCTGATATCAACGTAACTGGTGGGCAGTTTGGCACAGCCCTACATGCAGCCTGTCTTCGCGGCCAAGTGAAGATAGTCAAGCGGCTTCTCGACGCAGGTGCGGATATAAATGCACCAGGCGGGGCAAAGAATGAGGCGCAGGATAAGACTACTGCTGGGCCTACATCGGCTGCCAGTTTCTTCATTGCTGCCAAGCACGTACTGGAAAATCGACGTGTCGCTAAGGGTAGGACTCCGCGTGCGTCAAAACGCAGGGAGGCAGAGCAGATATTTCAGTTATCACTAGATCGAAATGTGGACATTAACATCTTAACGGGGGGCTTTGGTCCGCCATTGCATATTGCAGCTAGGGCAGGCCATGAGGAGGTCATCGACTTACTGCTAAGGCGTCCTGGGATATCCGTTAACTGTCAAGGTGGTGAATATGGCACTGCGCTGCAGGCCGCGGCCGTAGCCGGCCGCACTATCATCGTCCAGAGACTTCTCGATGCCAAGGCCGACCCCAACATGCAAGCCGGGAAGTATGGCACAGCGTTGATAGCAGCTTGCCGCCAGGAGAATTTCGGGCTTGCAGATCTTCTGTTACAGTCAGGCGCTGAAGTAAATATCCAGGCGGGCGTCTATGGCACTGCCCTTCACGCAGCGTGCCGTAGCGGTAATATGCTTCTAGTCCAGCGTTTGTTACACGCCGGGGCCGATGTCAAATTGACCGGGGGCGATTATCATACGGCCTTACAAGCTGCCTCTCGAGATGGATTTGTCGATATAGTGCATGTTTTGCTCCAGCGTGGTGTTGATGTCAATGTTCAGGGCGGAACATTTGAGAGTGCGCTACGGGCCGCTACTGTGGGTGGCCATCATCGGGTCGTGGAGATGCTGTGTGCAGCAGAGGCCAAAATGGACAAATGTCTGGAGTTAGCCTGTTTAGGTGGGCACCAGGCAGTGGCTGAAGTCCTCCTCGCCCATGGATCAGACCTGATGGGCCCTTCGTACGGGTACCACACGCCGCTACAAGCAGCTATGGCGGGACGTCACCACTCCCTCGCGCGATGGCTCCTTGAGAAGGGGGCGAAAGCTACTGATTCCAAAGGAATATGGGGCACAAATCTCCAACTTGCAGCGCTGGCTGGCGAGGCGGAGCTTGTTGGCATCTTTCTCGGGCACGGAGCAGATCCCTGGGAGGAAAATGATATCCTCGAGGAGAGCGTCATCGAGAAGTTTGGCGTCACGCTACCAATTTGGGAGTATACATATCCCATAGTAATTGCGGCAGCAGGAGGTCACAGTCAGGTTGTTACGCTTTTACTCGAGAGTGATGGCCATGACCGCTCCGACGGATGGGATAACGCTCGGTCTTGTGTCAAATCCGCGCTTCGCGATGCACTACACGTGGCACTGGAGACAGGTCAACAGGCAGTAGTCGATCTACTATTGAGTTATGATGTACCAGTTGATCGCGCCACTGTTAAACACGCATGTTCCGTTTCCAATCCGAATGTGGTAATCTCCTTGCTAGAAATGCGGGACCGAGATACTTCGGAGCAAGACGGGTACGACAACAGCATATGCGCACTTTACGAGGCTGCTCTCCACGGAAAGATCGAGCTCGTGGAGCTACTACTGCCGCGGGCTATCCAAAGCAACCACTTTGTGCCCACAGATCTGGCGCAAGCTCTACAGAATGCGGTATCTTCCGAGAATTTGGAGATTGTCCACAAGCTGCTTCACTATGGCGCGAGTGCCACTATCCAGTCTGACTGTCTCATTCAGTCCCACCTAGTCGACCCGAGCCTGACACTGCCCACTCCGAGTGCGGCAGTGGTTGATGAGCATAGAGAAATTGTGCAGACCCCTCTTGATCGCAAGGGAAACATTAATATCCACCGCGAGGAGTATGGGAAAGCTCTTCAAACAGCCGCATATGACGGCGCGGAAGATTTAGTGACCCTTCTGCTGAACAGTGGTGTCAATGTCAATGATGAAGGGGGCAAGTATGGGACCGCGGTGCAGGCCGCGGCCGCAGGTGGTCACGAAACTATCGTCCAACGGCTCATCAGTGCCGGGGCCAACCTGCGCTCCCAGGGGGGACACCAAAAGGTTTGAAGACGCACGACGTGATAAAGCGATGGAACACAAGATCTTCAAGCGAAGTCAAGCAGCGGTACAAGACAATCAAGAAGAGATTCGAAACAGAACCGATCCGAAAACAATGTGGTTTGCATGGCACCGCACTTCAAGCGGCTGCAATATCTGGAAATGTGAATATTGTGGCGATGTTAGTACAGGCTGGCGCCGATATCAACGATATCGATTCACTCGGAGAAACTCCCCTGCATCACGCGGTGTACTACAATCATCTCCCTGTGGTTAAATTTCTGATCAACAAGGGAGCCGATGTCGAAGGGATAGATTCTGAAGGCCACAGTCCTGTGCTTCTTGCAGCCCTAATGGGTCATCTAGATATCCTTGCGTACCTTTTCTCTTCAGCGACCGAATCTATTACCAACTCTGCGGTTATGAAGAAGCGGTCACTGCATTTAGCGTCACAGAACGGGCGTATTGGTATCATCGAACACCTCATTGCCGAGCAGATTGATTTAGAGGTGCAAGATGAAACCGGGCAGACGGCTTTGTTCCTCGCGTCCTCGACTGGTCAATGTTCCACAGTGCGCTTTCTCATCGATAATGGGAGTAAAATCCATCACCGCGCTCACAACCTGTGTATAGCCCTCCACATGGCCGCAAAATCAGGCCATGACGACGTGGTCCGCCTGCTTCTGACATCTGGGGCCGATATGCTTGCAGTGGACAACCGCGGTTGGTCAGCGTTGCACTATGCCGCGGCGAGGGGCCATAGCAAAGTGGTGTATCTGCTTATAGAGCGAGGCATGTCGCCGAATCTACAAGATTACGTGGGGAAAACAGCGCTGCACCATGCGGTCTCTTCACAAAACACAGAAACGGTTACCATCTTGCTTAACAATGGAGCCAACACCAAAGCCAAAAGTAACGATGGAAAGACACCCATTGAGCTCCCACGGCGACCCGGAGAAGATGGCGTGAGAGATTTGCTCATTCGGCATGAAGCAGCAACCCCCAACGAGAGAGAACAGCCTGTTGATTCTCCTTCAACAGACTATGACGCGAGCAGACGTTCTTCAGTAGTTCATGACATGAGCATGCGTGGTTCTGTGGCCCCTACAAGGAGCGGCCGTTCTTCGGCAGCCTCTGCTAGAAGTAGTGGCTCCTCAACAGCCTCTTCTACCTGTTCTAGAGGTAGTCGCTGCTCAACAAGCTCTGCTAGGAGTGGTAGTTCAGCAACAACCTATGCTAGTCGCGCTAGGGATACTAAATATGTTGATCAGGGTGAGGATGCAACGATCAAGATTATGATGGGGGTACACATGGCCACCATCGAGACCATGATGGGGGTACACATGGGCATGATGAAGATGGTGATGTTGATGATGATGTTGATACTTTTGGTATTGGCCGTGATGTTCACCACTCTAGGCATGATAATAATGAGATAGACTATGAGGACATGGACGGATCAGAATGCAACTAGCACACAACTTATCATCACTGGCCAACTTATTAGACATTATAGTAGTTATTCATGTGACAAGTAGAATTTTGATAAGCAATTCCTCGGTGGAATCCCAGCATCCGAAGGGTATGCCACGACTAATCAGGAAAGTTCCAAAATCAGAGCTACACATAATATAGAACCAGGCACGATGAAAAGGAAGTCAAGAGAAATAAACCTGCAGACATTAGACGTTCTCTGAAAAAATCATTAACCAATGTTTGCGATCGTGCACATATTCCGCCAAGTTATGAACATCACGAAGTCAACTTAGATAAAAGAGGTATATCAGCGGCGTTCTGCTCGTAAAACTGCCAGTTCCCAGTATAATGTTTATCGCTGGCTTATATCTTGTTGCTATGATCATGCAGTCGCATTATAATGGCTGGCAGCAACCCCAGCAGCCCTATATGTACAAGCCGAGTCAGAATTGTGCAGGTTGCAAAGGATCGATTAGTTGGAGGACAGACCTCGAAGCCTGAGGCTCTCTGAGAAAATATACAAGACACGGTCAGTATATCATCAAGAAGACAACAAGTTGGGCGAGAATGAGAAATCTCACCTGACCATATGGACAAATTGGTGGCTCGTTCTGGCACACGGTAGTGCAAAGCGTAGCTTGAGATTCAGCAATAATTCCCAAGCAAAGGATCGCAAGGACCAGAGTCGGCAAACGGAATATTCCTGTAGCCATTGAGAGGGATGAATAGTTTATGGTTGGAAGATAAAATGAGGACACTGTATTCTGGGCTAAGTGCGAACGAAACATATCCTTATGGGGGAGACCCTTGCTAGGCTGCAATGGGACCCGTTCAACATGCCACCAATCGAGCACTCTCCAGGGCTACGCTCAACGTCACATGAAGTTCCTTTACCAATCTTCCCCTTGTACAAAAGAATAGGATAGCATTTTCAAGGAAAAGGGTTTTTCCTATATCATTTATAGACTAAGGTTTTTACATGGTAGATGCCATTCTCACTTTAGCGGAAATAAGCAACCATCCAAGACCCTTTGGCTATTATGGGCTTCGACAGGGATGTGTTGTTATTAGAGAGAGACACCTCACATCGTCTACGATGACCACCCCATCTCCTACATCTCATTCGGGTCCAGAGAATCTGGTTACCGTCAAAGTACTTTACAATGACAGTAACCGTCGCTTTAAGATGCCTCTTAGGTAGTTGAAGGCCCAGGTGTTTCCCCAGATGGTAAGTCTCCACTCAAGCTCAAGCTCCGGATCTGTAGTCCGACTCCATTCCTTATCTTCAGCGATCATCAGATCATGCTTTATGTCTTCCAGATATTTTCTTCCAACCGTAAACAAAAGGACACACTTCTGACTTGTTTTTGTTTTTTCTTTCGCAAGCTGACTTGATGCTTTTGGTTTAGCTTAGCAAACTGCTCGGGGTTCCGGCGGGTGTCAACGTCATCCTTTTGTGTCGAAAAATAAAAGATTGAACAGTACTTGGCCAACGGGGCCTATTATCTACTTGATTGTGAGGCATCCAGTCTGTGACTTAATAATAGGGCAACATATCTTCAGTAAAAAGAGATCCCGATACCCTTATGCCTCGCTGGGATCTGTTAAATTGAAATGAACCGTGATAGATCCGGGTTATGCCGGATGGTGTGGGACCAGTACCCCAGTAAAGCGACCTTGTAGACAGCTCGACCTAGATGAGGTGCAAATTTTGGAATGGTCAGATCATGCTGAGGTCTCAGTCAAACATACGACGAAGCAAATGCGGCATCTCGGAATCTGACCCCTTGCGTTAAAGGAGGTGCGCTATCCAGGGCTGATTCCTTTCCCCGGCTGAGTGGACCCTTTAACGATGGCAAAGTTCTATTTCTTTTCAACATAGCCTTCCTTTGGAAGAGCCAGGTTAACTGTTGTAGTTATATATCTCGTTAATTAGAGTATATCGTCTGAATAAATAAAACAATAAATGGAGATCCAAAGTCACCCCCTTCCGTGAGCGCTACATTCATGAGCAGGTGCATGTAGAGTTCTTACCGTGTCGCAGAAATCTCTTGTCGCAACGTTCAAAGCAAATTTATTTGATCATTGATATTTATGGGAATATTCAATTGTAGATGAACTTATCTAACGGTAAAACCACCATCCACTCTAATATCCGCACCATTGATCATGCCGCTAGAATCCTATTGGAAAAGTCAGAACCGAAAGCGTAGTCTACCAAGCCGAGGGATTATACCTGACAAAGAAATAGCACGGAATCAGCAACCTCCTCTGGAAGTGCAAACTTGCCCGTTGGTATATTTGCCAAGAAAGCATCGCGAACAGTGGCCTCTCCCCAGGCCTTCCTCCCAAGGTCCGTCCACGCCACAGTCGGAGAAACAGTGTTAGCTGTGATACCCCGACCACCCCATTCAGATGCCATACTACGCGTCAGACCCAAGAGCCCAGCTTTCGAAGCACAATATGCCCCATGTCGATGCAGCGCAGCATGTGCTGCCTGAGATGAAATGCTGACGATTCTTCCCGGTGGCGGGGGACTCTGTGATGATTTGGCGGTCTTTGATGCAGCGAAATAAAGTCGAGCAAAGGCTTGAGAACAGAGCATCGGGCCGTAAAGGTTGACGGTCAGATGCTTCAGTGTTTCTTCCGGGGGCGTTATCTCCATGTCGCTGAGAGATACGTATCCTGCTGTGTTGATCAGAATACTCGGGAATGCTCTTTCGGATGAAGAGGACAAGGCTGGGTTAACTATTTGTTTCTCTAAAGAGTTAAAAGCAGCCTGGACGGAGTCTGGTGAGGTGATATCGCATTCATAGGTGTGGATGTCATCTAGATTGCCGCTCGCGCCGTACCCGGATTCGAGAAGCTCATCGCGACGTGCGGCTTCGAAAGGTGCGTACAGAATGGCGATACGGGCACCTTGTTGTCTCAGCTTTTGGCCTATGCTTGATCCAAGGCCGCCTGTGGAGATGTTAGGTTTCGCTGTGTATGGCTTTGGCTCTTATGTCCCTACCCAGGCCGCCAGGCATGATTGCTAATCTGCGTGCGAATGCCATTATGGGCGGATCTTTCTAGATAGTGGCAAGTTCCAATAGTGGAAAGTGTACAAAAGGAACTCTGACAGTTTGAACTTCAAGCTGCCCCCCAATTCTCCGCTGAGGGGAAGATGGATGTTTTAGGAAATGATCATCCAATATCCACCCCCACATTTCATGTCCCTTGGCAGTGAAGGGCTAATGGGCTAAAGGGTACGGAAGACCATCTTTTGCTTGCTGCTTGCTTCGACTTTGATAATTACTAAACAAAGGATCCGTGGATCCCATGAGATTATGCGATAAGCTTACGATCCCCGGACTATCAAACTCAATTCCCCAGATCCTCAACCAATCAGATATATTATCAACTCCTACTACACCAATTCCTATTTACCTGTCTTTCTTTTCTCCTGCATGAATATCAACATCGTCCAACACAGCTTGGTTCTCTTTCGCCGCCGCAAGCCGGATCCGTTTAAGTCTCCTTGTATCGACATCCACCCGCCAGGTAAAAGCCCAAGTAATAATGTTCATAATGATAGCCATACCAACAAATCCCATCGCAATCCCAAAGGAGGTCGCATATCGTGGCGCAAACCGAGAGTTGAATAGCTGAGACCCCACAGCCCCTCCAATCTGGCCATAACTGTTCGCAAATGCGATTGCGAAGGCAGATCCCGTTGCGCCCTCGGTGGTCTGGACTCGCCATGGCCACATCATTGTATACCTGGTTTATATTAGCATAATGTGTCGAGAAAAAGGATTCCCTCTAGAGCCACACTTGCCATGCAGTCGAGAACCCTCCAGCTATAATCGTCGCCGCATACACCCCACCAGTATTGGGGAAGGCGTACAGTACGCCGTAACACGCTAGAATGACAATCATGAATCCAAGTGGAATGGATGGCTGAGGGATCCGCCCAGTATCTGCGAAGATACCGAATGCCACCGTCAATATTACTGCGAATACCGCAGATGGGATGTTCAGCAATAGAGATTCACCCATAGACCTTTGGGAATTGTTAGCAATGTACTGTGTTTTTTAAGTTGGGGCAACTCACGTAAATCCAAGATTGGAAATTACTGTTGGTTGGTAGAATGTGAGTCCTGTTGTTCCAATAGTAAAGAAGGCCCAACAGAGGAGGAACAGCCAGATTCGCTTGTTCTTCAGTGTTGTGATAAGTTCACGCAAATTGAAGTTCGACTCCGCCGCTCGAGGAGAGTTGCTTGGTAGGCGGGCTTGGGTGAAGGCCTTTTCCTTTTCGGATAACCAGGATGCGGTTGAAGGAACTGTGGACTAGTGGTTAGTTATGTCTAGCACTGTAGGCTGTGATGACATACAATCAGGTAAGAAGAAATAAGTAAAGATTCCCAGTAATACCGTGAAGATTCCTTCTGTTAGGATAAGCCTAAGAAGCATTATTAGCAAATGGTCCGTCCTTCCGGGAGGAGACCGAAATACCATTTCCATCCGGAGAGACCACCAGCAACGACACCATTGAATGCAAATGCAAGCACGCCACTAATTACCGTACTGAAATTTCCGAGTAAAGTCACAAGAACTATCCTGGGAGCAACTTCATCTGGCCTATACCAATAGCATAGCTGCAAGAGCATCCCTGGCCATAGGCCAGCCTCGAATAGTCCAAGGAAGAATCGAACGGCATATAGACCTTGTCTATTTGTCACTGCTGCATGGCAGCAAAGAACGATACCCCAAGAGACCTGTAACTATTAGTGCCAAAAGATAGCTAACTAGAGGTAGAATAGATAAACGTACCATAATTCTGGCCTGCCAAATTGAAGGTCGCACGCCTTTCAACAAAAGGTTGGACGGGGCTTCTGCAATGATGTAAGGGACCTCCAAGGGATTAGCACAACTTCAGAAAAGAAGTTTTTGGTCCGACTTCTCTCACATAATACATAGTTGTAACCAGATTATACTGGTCTGAGGTCATTTTCAATTCAGTCAAGATATTATGGGCGGTGCCTTTATCCATAGTCCGGGCGTATGAGACCTACATTCTGGTTAATTATTTTCCACCAGCATACTCCGTGGATAATCTTACATTCGTAAAATCCACACTTTTTAGCATATACATGACAGCCAACAGTGGAATCAAATGCCAATCAATGCGTCGCAAGAGCATCTTTTCCTCTGCGGCACTGAGTGTCGCACGCGCGCCCATCAGGGTGGCATCATAACCAGGGATAACCTCTTCAAAGGATTTCAAAGTATCATCCCCATTGCGATTCACATAATGTACGTTTCCTTTGGCCGGTGTCGGTGTTTCGTCTGTGGATACAATCCCGATCTGACCTTTCTCTGCTATCCCAGAAGACATAGTGATCACCGATCAGTGTCTTTTGTAGCTGGCACACGGAACAAAGTTACAGCCGGAACAATTGCAATGAGCTCGAGGGGATATGTAAACCATTAAATGGACTCTAATATTTGTGTTACTCCGCATACTCCGGAAGCACCGAAAGTGGGTTATCTTCTGTGTAAATCGCGCAAGATGAGCAAGGGGTGCTCGGCATGGCGTGTGTACAAGGGTCTACCTAGCGACTTATACTAAGCTGTAGAATGCATTTGCCGAGATTATAATTTAAGCTAAAAGCTTCGCTTGCCGTGCGCTGACGACCCCTCAATTTAGAAAGCCGGATGTCACGTATAGTCCGTTATATCTACCACCCAGTTCAACAATACGCGGAGAGTATGTCCCATGAGTGAACATCTAGAGTAGTTCTCTAGTATTTAACAGTACAATCTCACCAAGCAACCTTGACTTTTGATATTTCACGATATCAATCGCATAGATGTAAGTTATATAGCACATGTTAAAACCCACCCAAATAACGCTTTACGGTGGAAATAGCACGCGATAATGGGGCCATGCTCGGCAAATACATGGCTTTAAAATAGGACAGTGGATTTGCCGATCAAAGATAATGCATCTTGCCAAATTTAGTAAAAGAAAAGTAGTGAGCAAGAAGAGCTAAGTACCGTACTCCAGGACCACGGGGATACGCCATTGCGGGGGGGAGAATGCCTAATCGGCCCCCTTTCACTTAACTTCATATCTTCCCAAGAACTACATGAGTATCTCTTCATAAACCTCTAGCTTCTCTAACACTTCAACGGACCAAGAAATATGAAGGCAAATTACATTTATGCTATCGCATCTCTAGCAAGACTAGCGCTGACGTCGGAATTCCAACAACCCTTGATTGGACAAGTGACCGACGATAACGTGAAATCTCCAAGCGTGAACTTAGAGGCCATTATCAATGCATCTGCTCTCTTATCATTCCACAGAGACATTGTGCAAATTCCGTCAATCAGTGAAAATGAGAAAAATGTCGGAAACTACCTCTTGGACTTCATTCGCTCTCACAACCTGACCGTCGAGAAACAAATTGTCACTCCAGGAAGTGAGACCGAGCAAGAAAGATTCAATATTTACGCCTACACTGGGAAGAACAGATTTCCTGATGTGCTACTCACCAGCCATATCGATACTGTCCCGCCTTTTATCCCTTACTCGCTCCATCCACCAGCCATAGATAACACTGACATTCTGACATTTAATCGGTCAGACCTGGTTATCGCTGGTCGCGGCACAGTAGATGCAAAAGCCAGTGTTGCAGCCATTCTATTTGCTGCACTGGAAACACTGGAAGTCAATCCCGACGCCTCAATCGGGCTATTGTTTGACGTCGGCGAGGAGAAAAGTGGCGTTGGAATGAAACATTTCTCAAACTCCGATCTCAATCCCGCACCGCCTAAATTCCACACAGTTATATTTGGAGAGCCTACAGAGCTCAAGCTTGTCGCGGGTCACAAAGGCACTCTTGGGTTCAAGCTTATCGCCGAAGGAAAAGCCGCGCATTCGGGGTACCCATGGCTCGGGAAAAGCGCGGTCTCCTCGATTCTTCCTGTTCTATCTTACCTCGATACCCTGCAAGATATCCAACCGGAGAAAGGTGGACTTCTCCGTAGTGAGACTTTCGGGCAATCGACATTAAACATTGGGGTCGTACGCGCTGGTTTAGCTGGAAATGTTGTTCCTGCATATGCAGAGGCGACGATTTCCGTTCGTCTCGCGGCTGGAAGTCCAGATGACACGAGAGAGATTGTGAGGAAGGCGGTCGAAGATGTTACAGGTGGAGATGGAAGTGTCTATCTTGACTTCGGGAACCTCGAGAACGGCGCTCCACCTCAATATCTTGATTCTGACGTCGATGGGTTTGAGGTGATTACTGTGAACTACGGGACTGATATTCCTGCATTGAAAATCAATGCCCAAGAAGGTCCGAAAGTGAAGCGGTATCTCTACGGGCCCGGGAGTATTCATGTTGCCCATGGCGATGACGAGGCAATCACCGTGGGAGAGCTCGAAGAGGCGGTGCGAGGATACAAAAAGTTGATCTCAGCCGCGCTGGGTGTCCACTAGAAGTAGGCCTTTTTTTGGCTTGAGAAATAGGTCAATACTACAGCGATAATACTCTACGCTCCCGATCATATCTACGAGTCTACAAGCGGTTTGCTCATCCGGCCTCGGATGACATCGAACCATCAATCGACAGAGTCCAGTAGGCAGGAAGATGGCGTAGACTAGGCTGCAACACTCAGACTCCCTGTGACTGAGGCTCATGCAGTGGAGTTCAATCCCAGCCGGGGCTCGGGGACGACATAGTAGTGATTGATGAAAGGAACGGTTCATCACAGACACCACATCACATATGCGTCGGGGACAACGGATATTGAGCCTAGCCCAACATGGGAATGGCCGGTTGCCGAGCCTGTTAGTAGCAAACCGCGGATCTACACCCCAATAGGGACAGTCAATAGCATCTGCCTTGAGATAAGATCTTCCAAGGCGCGACACCAAGAAGGGAGAGAAGAGGGATGAAGCATGCATGTCCTTTCGCTGGTATTGTCCAGATCAAGTTTTAACGGTAATTTCTCAGAACGAGACTCGCGCTTTTGGATGACCAAAAACGCAAGACCTCGAACACCCGTCATGCGTGCTACACAACACATACTTACCAAAACCACCCTTACATAGGTGCCAAATCCCCTTTTTTTCTGTTCCCACCCCATAGTCCCGATGACTATCAGGAAAGGGAAGATGCCGTAGAACTGCTCACTGATTCAGACAGCAGTTGTACCGGCCGAGACATTTGTCTTCTGCTCACGTCCAGTAGAGTGGTTTGTTTCGATATCTGAGTCAACATATTTGAGGTGCTCAAACCAAATACCTTTGGACTTGCGCCACCACTCAGCGATTGCGATGATAGTCACACCGCCCATGATCACAATGGCGTAGTTGAACAAGGTGGAATCCTTGTTAATTGCACTATCCGAGTAGGCCGGGGCGCAGAGCACAGCAAAAGCAAACCCGTTCCACAAGAAAGTAACAACAGCGGCGACCACGCCAAATCGACCCAAATCCCAAAAGCCTGGCTGGAAGGATTTACGTGTGATGAACGCACGGCCGATTCCAACCAAACCATATGCTGCGAGGGAACCCGCAGCTGAAGTGGAGACCAAGCTGGAGAAGGCCACTTGTGATGGGAGCTGAGTGCAAAGGAGAAGCGCAGCAATAGTGGAAATGAAAATGACAGCGTTGTGAGGCTGCTTCGACTTCGACACACGTGACAGCACGTCACTGAATGGGAAAACGCCATCGCGTGCAACGGCGAATACGAGTCGTGATACAGCAACCAGCGAGATCGAAGTGTTGAGAATTGCTCCAGTCATCGAGACAATGGTCATCACAACGTGGGCATGGGGACCGAGAGCCATGGCGTACATGTTGATGAATGGCTGAGGCGCGCTAGTGTTGTAGAACGTCTCAATCGGGGGCATGCAGAAGAGAAACAGGATAATGATCGGGAAGCCGCACAGCGCAGACGCAACGGTTGCCCAAAAGATACCTTTCGCGGCAGCTTTCTTGGCGGACACGGTCTCTTCTGCGACATGGCCCGAAGCATCCTGTCCCACGAGACAACTGCCGACCAAGTACCAGGAAAGAACCCAGTTCAGTCCGGGACTGGTCTCTCCGCCATTATATGTAGATGTAAACACGTATTCGGCCGACTGGAAGCCGTACGTCTTAGAGACGCCGATGGGAAGCCAGATGAAGTTGAGCAGCATATCGACGATAATGACCGTCACACCCGCTCGGAACACCCAGGAGTATATGCGCGGGGGTAGGAAATTGAGCGAGGTAGCGATAGCCAGGAAGAGAAGTGAAATAGCCCATGCCACGGCACGGGCTCGGACGTCAGCCGTTTCATATGGGAAACTCGTCTTCGGGTCGAACACAACGATCTCGGATATCAGGTAGTTGGCGACACCGAATGAATCACTCGCGAGGAAGGCAGTCCACGCAACCAATGTCCATGCGGCAACGAGGAACGAGATGAAGCGGCCGGCTTTACCGCCTCCCCATGATCGAAAGGCCCAGTAGTAAATTGACCCCGCGGCGGGATAGCTAGAGCAAGCTTCAGCGAGACAGGCGGCCGTGATGACGGACAATATGCTACCAGAGACCCAAGAGCTCCAGCTGAGGAATTTGTTAGTGATCAATCCCAAAAAGGGCTGGGAACTGCAGGCAGCGGAAAACATAGAACATACATGGCAGCCGGCCCGCCTCCACTCAGGGCGATATAGAAAAGCACACGGATTCCTCCGACGCAATTCAAGGCCGAGAAGGAGCAGGCGAAATTGTCGAACGAGCCCCATCCTCGAGCCAAGACAGAGCGATAGCCAAGCTTCAGGAGGTCCCGATCATCTTCATTAGTCACAGAAATTGCATCGGAGTTCTGGACCTGATGTTCGCTATTCCGAGTGTTTTGCGGGGAGTTTGTCCCATCAAGGGCATCAACGTCGCGCAAGGCCATGGTGGCTGCTCTTTTTTTTTTATCTGTCTGTTGAGAGGCTTGGCACTTGACAATGGCTTTAATTTTTTTTTTTTTTCCAAAGAAAAAAAAAGTTATGTTCAATTAACTTTTTCCTATCACGATATCACGTGGGCCGATCAATTGCTTGAACGGACCCCGACACCGGGGTTTGTTAGGGGATCTTCTGAGTCATTATTTTCTTCTTTAGGAGGCACATTGAGGGAATCATGAAGAATTGGCTAGAAAAATACTACTCTGTATGGAAGTAATGAAGTTATCAATCGGCACATACGTAGCACAACACATTAGTTCATAGATGTCAGCTTACCTACATGATAATATACATAAGGTAGCTGTTGTCCGGGTGAAGTGGCGGGGTCAATTGCCAACGTGTCACACGGAGTTGCCCCCTCAATTCGACATTTTGTGATAT